TAGACTTGTGCGCCGTCAAAAAATTTGTTCCGTTTCGGAATATCCGTTATTTCGTAATTCGTGTCCGAAACTCAATTCGGATTCGTACGAAATACGGATTTTCGTTAGTTTCGGCACATTTTCGTAACTTTACGAACATTCGTTATGATGAAGTTAAAAAGCAAAAATACCTTTGTTAATATTGGAGTCGATGTGGTAGTTGTTTTTTTATCCGAAATACGAATTCCGTTAACGGATTCCGGATCCGAATTTCGTATTTCGGACTTAAAAAAAAAAACTACCATCAACTCCAATATAAATGTATTTTTGCTTTTTACCTTCAATATAACGAATGTTCGTAACGGAACGAAAATACGTCAACGGAATTTCGTATTTCCTGCCTGTGTATTGTAATGCGACTCTCAGCAGCAGCGGATCCGTATTTCGGATTTAAAAAAAAATCTTGTCATGTTGTTCAACCTCATTTACAGGGGTGATATTAGTTCCCGTTTCAACGAAATTCGGATCCGAAATTCGTTAACCGAATTTTGTATTTCGGATATAAATCGGAAACTGCCATTCGGATTTCGGATGCTTACGAATCTACGAATTTCAGGAAAATTCCTACGGATTTCGATTGGTAACGAAACGAATCGCACATGTGATGTCTAGTCTTTTGGTTGAGGAGTTTTTAACTGGGGAGTAGTGAGAATGTGAGTTGAAATGGATAACCCTTTGAGGTGGGAGAAAGATGGGAATAATTGTACTTGCGAGAATGTAACGTAAGCAGAGGTTCTTATCCCAAATAAGGAGAGATTATTTTTGAGCTTCTTTACAATGATAATTATTTGCTGTATGTTTACATATATGGAAATAAAAATTATATTATACAAATGAGATGAATTTGGGGATAACATTCACCTGTAGAGAACCCAATATGACACTTCTGAATGTTGAACCCGTATATGGTGACTTGTCATTGGCCGGCTGATATCTGATTGGAATGAAGTCCTGATACGATGTAGCGATATTCCTTCATAAGAAGTGATTGTTCCATTCATGGATGACACACCTCGGTGGCACACTGACCTCAGTCATGGCTACAAAGCAGGAAGGTGTGCACTCACACTGGACGACGTTTACTTTGCTCCGTGCGATGTGTATTATACACAATTTACATTCTTTGTTAATAAAATCCTAATTTCCCCCTTTTTCATCCTTTGTTCCTCCTCTGTGCTGCTGATCTCCTGCAGCCACTTCTTGCCTACATGCACTCCAGCGATGGCATATCTCAGGGCGGGTTTATTGAGGATGACAACAGAGGACTGTGTTATGTGTTATGTGTGATGAAATGGCCACTTGTAGTCTCCATGGGCGGCCCATGTGTAGGGGCACAACGCGGGAGCACAATTGGGAGACAGGGACAGTGTGTGGTCACCCTATAACAGGAAGTGCCTGAACAAGGACCTCCATGGCAGGAACAGTGAAGATGTTTTTTACATTTAAATGAACATATGAGAGCTCCTATAAGAGTTCATTGGGGGGAGGGGGGGTCACTTCTCTGATTCCCGGTAACGTCTGTACTGTTTGTGGGTTTTTTTACTATTTGGAAGCGGTGGGCTCTCTGCTCTCTGGGTGGAAGCAGACTGAAGGGGAGGACGGAGGTCAGATAGAAGACTGAAGGGGAGGACGGAGGTCAGATAGAAGACTGAAGGGGAGGACGGAGGTCAGATAGAAGACTGAAGGGGAGGACGGAGGTCAGATAGAAGACTGAAGGGGAGGACGGAGGTCAGATAGAAGACTGAGGGGGAGGACGGAGGTCAGATAGAAGACTGAAGGGGAGGACGGAGGTCAGATAGAAGACTGAAGGGAAGGACGGAGGTCAGATAGAAGACTGAAGGGAAGGACGGAGGTCAGATAGAAGACTGAAGGGAAGGACGGAGGTCAGATAGAAGACTGAAGGGGAGGACGGAGGTCAGATGTAGAGGTCAGAGCTGTATTGATGGTCTCACACACTCGGCGGCTCTCCCCCCATAGAAGAGGAAGTCGTTGTGTGTGAGTGTTACGTTGTATCTCGGTCTCGGGGAAGTAGAGGATTGGGCGCAGGGCGCGGGGTGTGTGAGTGTCTCTGTGAGTGACGGAAGTCTGGCAGGTTGTGGCGCCGGGTGCGCGGAGTACACAGCTGTATCTTATTCTCCTCTTCCTGTCTCTTCTCTCCCACTGACTCTGAGAACTCGCTGCTGCGATATCTGAGCGATGACAAGATTCTGGTGATACAAGAGGAGCCGCCGACCCAGAAAGACAACAAGAAGGACACGGGCCGGAGGTCCCGGAAAAAGAGCAAGAACCCCGGGAGCCCCAGTTACCCCATCAGCCCCTCAATGCTGACCTCCAGCGGGCGACTGGACCCGGCCCAGCAAGATGCACTGACCTTCTCTATGGCGGAGAGCAACACCGTACCCCTCTACCATGTGAGTACCCCCCCCCCCCTGCCTGCAGGGTGTCTGTTTATACCATCCCAACACCCCCATCATTGATACCCCCCTAGCATGGGAGTCCCCGTGTTGTATGTTCAGTGTGCCGTGTTGTGTGTTCAGTGTATCTGTGTGCTCACCAATCATTTACTGTCTGTTATGATGGGAATTGAGAGATACGATGACAGAATGATAAGAAACCAAAAACAAATTGATATCAAACACCACGACGGTGTCATACAATCAATGTGCGGGGGATGGTCTGTCCCGGTTTTTAAATGAAGGAAACCCCCGGTGGTCACCAGAACTAGTGTCCCCATTGTAAGATTTCCTCTACATTACTGTTCTGGTGACAACCCAACATTTGGGATTTTCCTTCACGTTTAGTGATAGCATTCACCAGGACACATAGAGAGGGTGAATCTTCCTAATGGGGGCACAGGCAGCCATAAAAACCTGACAGGGTGTCTAATCCCTCCTCACTCTATCCAAGACAGAGATGTGCCTCTGCAGCTCTTCCTGTAGTCTGATCATTGGGGGAGGGGAGACTGAGGAAATGCTTCCTCCTGCCTGCAGCAGACTGATCACTGGGGGAGGGGAGACTGAGGAAATGCTTCCTCCTGGCTGCAGCAGTCTGATCACTGGGGGAGAGGAGACTGAGGAAATGCTTCCTCCGGCCTGCAGCAGTCTGATCCCTGGGGGAGAGGAGACTGAGGAAATGCTTCCTCCGGCCTGCAGCAGTCTGATCACTGGGGGAGGGGAGACTGGGGGAAATGCTTCATCTCAATCAGGAAAAGTCACTGACTGGAGCCGTTTAATAATTAAAGTGAAAGTGTTGCCGTATATTGTGACACGTCAGGGATGTATTCATGGAGACTTGTACATTTAGTGTCAGGTCCCCTTTAAGAGTAACAATCCTCTGCGTGTCCCTCACTCGCAGTCACACAGAAGTAACAATGACGCCCCCGGACAGGTGTTCTGACTCATTTCATCCTCTATGCTGAGTGGGTGCCCCGACCTCCCCCCCAAACTTCTATTTTTATAGATTCCTTTCCGCTGAGTTTTTTCCCCCTCTCATGTTTTTCGGTAGACGTAGATTCTCCCTCAGTGAATAATCACGTGAACTAAAGACTGACGGGGTTCACTTTTGTGTAAGGTGATAAAGTGTTTCACCGTTCTGGTCATTCCCCTCCCCCGGTGATACTCGGCCGTGCCCATCGCTCCAGTAACCCTGCAGTGCTGCCATCTTCTCGCTCTCTACTTTGGCGAGTTACTTTGTCTCGGCACTTATGGCCGTCACGCCGAGATTGCAGACCGAGCTGCGCATGTGCGGCTGAGGGTACAACGAGGGAAGAGTTGCTGGTGGAGGGGGGGGGGGGGGGTTTTTTTTGCGGGGGGGGGGGGGGGGGGGGAGGGGTGTTATTGAACAATTTTGTTCAATAACAGTGAATGTTTTACACATGATTGGAAGAGAAGAAACTTGTTACAATTGTTCACAGCAGAAGTCACAACATTGTTATCAGAGGAGGAAACTCCGAACATCATCTCCGCTGTCACCGACCCAACCGGCCGAGTCCATGATACCTTATTACCCCCGGTGCTGGAGGTTTGTGTACCAGTACTGCATGGACCCAGAAGAAGGGGGGGGGTCCATGCAAGCTGGCCCTGAAAATGTAAAATGGAATTTCTATATAAGTGCACAAAAACTAACACCAAAGTGAACCAAAAAGAGTGCATATGAAACACAAAAAAGTTGCGCTGTCCATCACCCGAAGAGAGCGGGTCCTTCCACGACCCCCCAGCTCGGGGAGCAATGCTCCTGATTGGGGCAGAGCACTCGTGTCCACCTATCTAAGGCCGGGCACACACCTTACAACCATCGTAAGACTTTTGTCTTGCGAGGGTTGTCAGGTACTTAAAAAAACGTACAATCTGCCTATGTTGCATAGGCAGATCGTACTTGCGATGATCGCAAGCCACGCCCCCTGAGGGGCGGGCTTCCGATGACCGCAATGCCGAACGGGCAGTGTGCGCTTGCCCACACCGGCCCGTCCGGCTTTTATCTTACGAACATGCCACACACCCGCCGAACGTCGTACGATGCTCGGCGGGTTTTCGAACATGTCCGTAAGTTTAAAGTCGTGCGACCGTACAGCAGCAGAGGTCGCACGGCTTCCACACACCTTACAATCATCGTACGATCGCGGGATTTCCCGCCATTATCGTAAGGTGTGTGGGGACCCTAAGCCAGGCAGACTCCTCTCCTCATGGCCAGCAGAACTGAAGCCAAAACATTTTTTTGTTCAGTTTTGGATAGGATAAGGGGAAGCCCGAACCTGGAAATACGTTTGCTGAGAAAAGTTCACCCTGAAAGTGACACTTCAGGGAGTGTCCTGGGCTCCCGGGTCCCCCACAGCTCTCAGTGGTTCCTCCCCCGGACCTCCACCCGGAGACACTACTGATGGTAAGGGGAGCCTGAGACGAGAGCCATATAAATGCTGCACCTGAAAATGGAAATATAAAATATGGATATATGACATGTGTAGAGGAAGAGGGAGGACATCACTCGCAGAGTCCTCTGGTGCCAACAGTCAGAGGCTCGCCTAACCAGCTTGACATGTAAGGCCTCATTCACACACAACGCAAGAGCAAAATTGTACATTGCGTGTATACGCGTGCACTATGCGCATTCCCAGAATGCATCATTCCTAATAGAACTTTGAACTGTACACACGTACATATATGCGTACACATGCGTATGCGCGTAAACGACGCTGAAATACGCCGCCCGGACGCATCTCGGTTCCATTCTGTTTTTGCGAAATTTTTACGCTACGCAAATATACGGCCTTGTGTATGGAGCCATTTATTTGCATATGGTACAATACGCGCGTACGCACATATATGCGCGGCATATGTGAATGAGGCCTTAAGGTACAAGAACAGGAGTCGCAGCGCGCGGGGGAAATATTCAAAAAGAACGAATACAAACGGCGACAGATTCCGACAAAATCCTTAATCGGGCCAACAACAGATCTCCTCCAACAAAGATACAAAGTATGCAAATCAGAAATCGTAGAACCTTCCAAATGGTTACAAATTAACAACATGCGGCAAGTGACCCAAAACTCCGGAGAGAAATCCTAAAAATCCATAAAAGTCCCGAACTCTGAGCAACAATCTCTGTGGGTTGAATTCCATGGACTTGTGTCTTTTTTCAACCTGACTAACAATGTATCTTATTTGTGTATCACTCGGGTCCTCCAATCATCTCTGACACTGTCCTTCCTTCTGGAGGGGGGCTACATCTGTTCCCCATGGTCCCTGTGTGTGTTGTAGAGTAGTCACCGCTCCAAGCTCCGCCCCCCCCCTCCCTCAGGATGGACTACAATCTCAATACAAATTAGTAAACTAAACCTGAGATTGTAGTCCATCCCCGGGGGCGGAGCTTGGAGCGGTGACTACTCTACAACACACACAGGGACCATGGGGAACAGATGTAGCCCCCCTCCAGAAGGAAGGACAGTGTCGGAGATGATTGGAGGATCTACAGCCGAGTGACACACAAATAAGATACATTGTTAGTCAGAGTTCAGGGACTGGGATGTGGTTTTAATTTTAAGGTGTAACTCCGGAGTTTAGTGTCACTTGAACTCGGCTTCACATAGGAAGCAACATAACTCTGCGGCCCCGTTCACACTGAGCGGTTTATCGCACGATTTTTGCCGCGATATCGCTCTATGTCGCTCGTCCAATGGAGCTGTTCACAGCTCAATGTCGCCTGTAGCTCGTCGCTCGTGCATGACCCCTTTTTGCGCAGATGTCGCCCGATTCGGCTCCAATAGACTCTATAGTGTCGCGCAAAATCGCGCATTGCCGGCGATACTGCGCGACAGAGGGGTCACTTTTGCACTGCAAAATGGAAAGAAAGAATGATGTCGCATCAAGATCGCTGTTGATTGGTTACAGCCCAATGTAGCAGCGACGAAGTCCAGCCCAAAAAAACGGGCTATGTAGCGCGATAAAATGCGCACTGTCGCTCAATATCGCGCAATGTAGCTCAAAGCCGCTCACCGCGAAATCGCGTGGGAAAACGCGCAATATCCATGTCGCTCAGTGTGAATGGGGGTGTACATGAGATCAAAGAAGAGATTTTATATGTGGAAAAAAAGGTTAAAAATCCATCTATAAAGAAAGAGGAAACAAAAGAAAAACAAACAATACACACGGGAACGTTTACAATGACGCTGTGGATGGAAGGCGATACAATTGCTGAATTGTAGAATAATTAAATATGTTGTAACAGATCTGCTGTTGGGGGCTGTGAAGGGCTGTTCCTCGAAAATGTTTCCATTAGTTCTTTTTTTAATTAAAATAAAATATTAACGAAGTGCTGCATATGAGACTGTCACAGGTCGGCTCAGTAGATCGGGAGGTGAGCGAACACATACCGGCGTTTCGCTCACCTCTCGATCCTGTCACGGCTCTCTGCCGTGACAGGGGGAGGGGCTGGATTCCCTCCTCCCCGCTCCGATCCGCCAGCGCTGACTGGCGGAACGGACGGGGGAGGGGGCGGGTACAGCTGGCTCTGCCTCTAGATAGGAGGAGCCAGCTGTCACTCATGCAGCTGGGCGGATCTCGACGTCGATGTCGGGATCCGCTCCGGCTGCGGCATCTCAGTATATAGGGAGCTGTAGCTCGCGGTATACTGAGCTTAGGGTGATGGGAGGATGCTAGTTTGTGCCCCTTAGGAGAACTATGGGGGAAAGCCCTGACCCCAGAGTTCTCCTTTAATAGAAGCGAGTTCTGGTCGGCATTTTGGGGAAGTTGCATTATTATCCTGTTTCCAAATAGTTACATTTGCAGAATCTCAGGTCCCTGTAATTCCCGTCCTGCGCGGTGACGCGCCTCCCCAAGATTGGAAAAATGACTTTTACTCTTTGAATTTTCCCCAAAACTTTGATTTGGATTCGGCGACAATTCATTTTTCTCGGCGC